GGGGCTGTCCCTGCTCCCTGCAGGGGGGTTGGACTGGATGACCTTTACAGGTCCCTTCAACCCAGCCTAGTCTGTGATTCACTCTATGACTCTCAGACACTCTGCTTCCCCCTCTCCTCTTTCCCAGGCGCGTGGGGGGGTTCTGCTCCCCCTGCCCCAACCCTCCTCCCTCCCCTGCTCTCCCCTCCCCTGAGGCCTCACCGTGGGTACAGGTCCAGGTAGAACTTGCCGATGGTCTCCCCGGAGTTCGTGTCCTTCACCGTGTAGAGCTGGACGTCCTCGTGCCAGACCTGAGCCTTCTCCTCCAGGTGGAAGGTGAGCCCCAGCAGCTCCTGGTAAATGGCCAGCAGGCCTGTGGTGACCACCTGCATGGGGAAATACTCCTTCAGCAGATTCTGATCCACGCTGTACTTGGTCTCCTCCACCTGGTTCATGTAGTAGCGCATGTCCCAGGCGTTGATGCGGTTGTCAAACTCCAGGCCACGCTTCTCGCACTCCTTCTTCTTCAGGTCCAGGATCACAGCTCGCTCCTTCTCCCCGAGGGGCTTCAGCTTCTGGGCCAGCTCATCTAGAGGCAAGGCAGGCAGGGTTAGTGCCCGGGGCTGAGGGCAGCACGTGGTCCGCCCCCCCCCCCCCTAGCCGGGAGCCGTACCCAGGAAGGTGGCCACTGTCTGGCTGCTTTTGGCCATGTTCATCTCCAGCACGAAGTCGGCGTGGGTGCTGAAGCCCAGCAGGCTGGCCTTCTGAGCACGCAGGTCCACCAGCTCCTTCAGGATCAAGCAATTCTCCTGCAAGGCAGAGTCAAAGAGGGACGTGGGGTGTGCAGGGGAGAAAGGAAGCGCAGGGTGGGAGGAAGCACAGATTGAGATGAGACCCCTCAGCCTGACCTGGCACCCCAAGGGGCAAGCAGCAAGCCCACCTACCTCTTTGCATCTGGAGTTGAACATCTCCTCCACCTTCCTTCTCGTCTCGGGCACATAGCACTTCTTCAGGAGAGGGAAATAGTGTGGGTACTTCAAGGTGACCTTCAGCTTTCCATCCTCTGTCTTCTCCAGGGAGTTCAGGAAGTCCTCAGGCAGCCCCCCTGAGAAAAGAGCAGACAGGACAGATGGAGCCCAGGCCTCTCCAGAAACACCAGCTCTGGGACTGACCACAGGAACAAGCTCCTGCTCCTTGGCCAAAGCACCCAGGCACTCAGAGCCACCCCGGGCACTCCCTACCTAGCTCCTCCTTGGAGAAGGGCAAGTAGGTGGTGTCCTCGTTGAGGTTCTTGTTGAAGTCTATGCAAAGGATGCTCAGCTTCTTCTTAATAGCTTTGATTTTCTTTCAAATACAGATGAACAGACAAAAAGATCAGCCCAAAGGGGGAAGTCAGCCAGCAGGGTTCCACCTGCAGCCAGCAGCCTGCCCACCACGCTTGGGGCTTGGCCTGGAGCCAAAGGCAACGCTGCAGAATTAACCACACGTGGGTGCTGAGCACTCAGCACAGCACAGGCTCCCTCTGACCACACCTGGCAGGAGAAGAGCTGCCTCAGCAAGGCCCCAGACACCTCCTGCCAGCTCGGGAGCTGCAGGTGTTGGAGCAACAACCTCCTCTACCCCATTCTGTTTCACCTTCTCTTGTAGTTTTAACCCAGCTCTGAGCTCCTCCGCTGGCAGCTGGTCAGAGGGAGACCCCAGGCAGCTCACCCTGACCCCCACCCCGGGGAGGCACCTTCCCCAGCCACACGTGGGGACTGGGGGCTGCTTCCACAGCTGCAATTTCAGCTCCTCAGGAGACAACCCGAGTGCCCAAAGTCACAGGAATTGGGGCAAAATTCCAGAGTCTGAGCCTCGGTCTGCTCTGTGCCATTAGCCCAGCCAGGCCTCCTCTGCCTGAGCTGACTCCAAGCCCGGTGACCTCACCTCCTGTGTTTCCTCAGGGAGATGGAGACCGTTTCTTTTCCCCAGTTTGATCAGCCTCTCCAGATACCTCTTTGCTTCAGGCTTCAGGGAGGCACTCTCAGCCTTCTCCTGTGAAACAAACCCCGTGAGCGCAGGACCAGGTGTTGCAGAACACCTGCACAACAGGAGCTGTGGGCTGTTGTAACACCAGTGACCTAAAAGCATGTGGAAGCACCCCAGGAGAAGGCTTTGGTGCATTAGTTCCTGCTGGATTGCTGTAAACACATCACCTTTACACCACATTATAGCCCTTACCAGGCTGGGTTTCCTCATGCCACCTCCCCAAAGCGGTGCCCAGGGCCCTGAGGGGGGGGCAGAGCCCTCAAACCCCAGCTCCCCAGCTCTCACTAACAGCTGGACCCTTCTGCCATGACCACAATTCTGTTCCACACCTGGCTCGACACCATTCACATCTAAGTTCTGGGACAAGGGCAAAGGCTTTGCTGGGACTCCAGGAGGTTTCCGTGCCCGGCTCGGGCGTGCTGCTGACAGCCCAAGCTCCAGGCACCCACCTGGAGCCAGACAATCCTCTGGTACACATCCTGCCTCATGCTCATCTCCACGTCGAACTCTGAGAGCTTCTTGTCTGCCTCAGTGCTGGCTGCACGGATGTCCTTGCAGGGAGAGACGTGCTGGGGGAAATCCAGCATGTTCCGACGCACTGGGGAGACAGAGGAGGGGTCATGGCAAAGGCAAGAGCTTCATGGCCCAGACCTGCTCCTGTGTTCACTGGGAGCCAGTTTGTTGGTGCTGGAGCCAAACCTGCCTGCCCACGCTGAGAGAGCTGCTGGCAAACCCCAAACTATCCTCTCCAGGAGCCCTGGGTGACCCGCAGCGCTGAGCACAGCCACCCCCTGACCTCCACGACAACCCAGCCTTCTCCCAAAGCTCACACCAGTGCCACCCCTGGGGGATCCTGACACCTTTGCCCCAGCTGTGGCTGGTATCAACAGTTTCAAAAGGGACAGGACTGAACAGGCAGCGTGGCTGCAACACTCCTGAGAGGATTAGGCTAAAGGGGACACACCTTTACTGCTCCAAAGCCACCACGTCCCTGGGGAGCTCTATCCTTTTCAGAAATGAAAACAGGGAGAACATTTCCTGACAGCACCTCTGCAAAACCTCAGCTAGCACATCTCCAGTGGGGCAGCTCTGCCCTCCAGGCACCAGCACTCTGCTCACAGCAGAAGGTGAGCAGGCAGCTCCCCTCTGCTGCCCAGCAAAGTGCTGACAGTTCTGCTGAAGTTCACAGTACCCCTGCTTAGTAAGGGCTTTTCCTCTTGTTTTAGGAAAAAGAAAGGAGAGAGCAGAGGCTGGTGGCTGCTGGAGGGGGGTGTGGGATTTGGGCACTCTGCTGCTGGCAATGATTAGCCAGAGATGGATCGAATCCTATGTTTTTTTGCCAGCATGATGCCACCCACCTTGAAAACCTGGCTACTGTCCCCCCAGCCCATCCTGCTGCCAACACACTGCCCTTGCTACAGCCTGGCTCTTCAGCTCCAGATCTGCTCTGCTCCTGGTACTTACAGCCAGCTGTATGCACAGCAACTGGGAGAAAAACCCAAAGTGCTGCTGAGGGAGGAGATGAGTACAGAGGAAAAAAAAAATCAAAGGAGTTTTAAGAACAACAGGTCGGTTTCTGGAGAGCCAGGACCCCCCCGGGGTGCAGGTACCTGTGTACTCCACTTCCACATCTGCCAGCGCCTTGAGGGTGTTCTCGTAGGACACCTCGCCCTGCTCCTGGGCGCCCACCCGGTCGTACACCAGCTTGGTCCTCTCCGTCAGCTCCGCAGCCATGTTCTCGATCTGCTCGGCCGTCAGGTCCCACCGGAGCTGGTTCGCCAGCAGCCTGGGCGCCTGGCTGTCCACCACGTTACCTGGGGGAGCACGGGGGCTCAGCGGGGCTGGGAGGGAAACCCGCCCACATCGCGGCCAAAGC